TCAGATTGCAAATACGATAAAGCAAATGATGGTATGTTCTGAATTTGGCATAATTTCCAGACTTGTTATTTTCTAGTTATCATTTATTTTATTCCATGTAACATACCTTAAATGGTTAGTTGTTCCCACAAATTCAAGATCTTGAAAAATTCCTCAAAGAATTCATCAAGATGAAACTGGAATCATTATTTTCTAGTTGAATATGCAATTTAGCTGAAAACTAACAAACTCATAGAAAGCTATGGAAAATATGTTAATGACTTAATAATGTGATTTTGAATTTAAGGTATTTAATTAAGAGATTTAATTTCAAGATACTGGAAAATTTTGAATCAACTCAATAGAGTAAAAAAAAACAAAAAACAACAAAATCAATATTATTTTCCACTAATTCAAACAATTTGTTATAAATAGAGGTGTAATATAATTAATCCAATAAACACTAGAGCTTCATTGGCATACTCATTGATCATTTTCTCCTCCAATTTCATCATTATTTGTATGTAAATGATTTCACCAATTATTTAATAAAGGAAGAAATTATCAATTAAAACTTTGTCATGATTTTTTTCTTTTATTTTTTTCTTACTTTTTGGTTGATGGCAGAGTTATATAGTTACGTCTTTTATCTTTCATGAATTTTCATAAAGTTAAATTTAGTCTGATGTCCCTACCTTATATCAGTAGAACAAAAAAGTCCAGTTTGTATCACTAACATATGAATGACTTACTATTTACATTGTTCAGACTGTTATCCATATCGTTATTACCATATTTACAACATTTTGGCTGTTGCACACTCCAGCCTTCTTCAGGTGATTGGAATTTCAAACTGAACCTTTTATTTTATCCACCAGAGTAGATTGTTTTAGTTCCATGTGCCATGCCTCTTCCAGATGTCTCAGTTATCTCCCTTTAACTCAACTCTCCACTGAAGTGGTGAACAAAAACTTGGAGTGTTGGGTTAAAGGGAGATAATCGAGATATCCAGAAGAGGTATGGCACAAGGAACTAGAACAATCTACACCGGTGGATGAAATAAAGGGTCCAGTTTGAAATTCCAATCACCTGAAAAAGGCAGGAGCATACAACGACTAAAGCATTGTGAATATAGCAATAAAGATGAAGACAACAGTCTGAACATTGTAAATAATTACAATACCTCATCTCAGAAATATAGAAGGATTTACTATCAGTCTTTTATATATATTAGCAAAAAATGGTGTTTACTATGACCTTCTATAGACACCTATGTAGAAGGGGAAGAGGCGGTTTTATCTCAATCTTAAGTGTTTCTGTTTGATGGACCAGCAGATGGTTCCTTTTAGTCTTCTAAGCAACATCCACTTTGAAGAGTAATGCAGAAGTAAAGGGATAGATAGGGGTTTTTGGTGATCAAGTGGCAACAAAACCGGAAATAGGGTATATCTGACTGCTGGTCTGTATTAACAGTCATGCTAGGGATCAGGTAGAGTTCTGGTTTGCCCTTGTCAGGAGAAAAAGAGAGCCCCTATGTTTTTCCAAAGTCTCCATTTCATATTGCCAACCATCATGTCTGAATGAGTAGATGGGTGAGGAGTTGATAGTGGGAAGAGCTAGCATAGTAGAAATTGTCCCAAGTATCATTTACTTACCCACCTGCATGAGCAGGTGAATTCATGAATAAAACACCTATATATAATATGGGAAACAGAGTTTGCATCCATTTTTCTTTCACTGTGTTACCTTGTGAGCATGCAGCTTTCATTAAACACCAACAATATAATGGGTTGAAATGCAATGTGAGATAATCATTGGCTGCTTGGTGGAAAGCTTAAGTAAGAGTCAGGTTGTATGTTTACATTTATAACATAAGCATGTAATATTTAATTTACATAACACTTTTCAAAAGAATATTTTAATAAATATCTTATCTGTGTCATCTTCTGTCCAGCTTTTTACTTATGATATTTTTTTCTTTTAAATTGAGATCACCCCAGGCAAGGCAGTAAAGCCACTAAGACACAAGGGGCTATTAGGTGGGGAAGAATTAGAAACAGAAACATTACTAATGAGTGAGAACACAAAGAGTAATCAGGAGGACAGCAGATAGTGATTGACATTGCATTTAAATTTTTGAAGATTAAAGTTGGCTGGAAAGCGTTGAGCCAAAAGAGAGTTACTTCCTAGAGATGGTGTCTTGATAAAAACACTTGGGTTCTACTTGGATTATCATGAGTGTCTGAATTGGGTGTCAGGAAGAGCATCCGGCCTTGTAAAATTTTGCCTGAAATCACTATAACAAATAATGTCAGGCAGGATCCACTTTGCTTTGTGCGAGTTTAATCCCAGTTTTGCCTCAACAAGAATCATAAGACTATATATGTATGTATATATGTATGCAAGTATGTAGTCATATGGAAATAAGACATTGTATTTATCTGTTTGAGTAATACTGCAGTAATTTGCACATGATGACAACAATATGCAGTTGCATGCACAAAGCAATGGACAGAACTTATTCTATTCAAAGACAAATGGTTGTAGCAAGAAGAACGAAGAAGAAAGTGGAGAAACACACAGGATTTTATTCTTTCTTTATATTTGCTGATCCAGTTGAGATTGACTTATTTGCTGCCAAAATAGATAAATAAACAAATAATGTTAAAATTCACTCTTCCCCCAATTAATTCCAAAGCTAACTTAGTTATGAGATAGGAGGATAAAGATGAAGTTGGAGTTGCCAATCGTTAAAGAAGAAAATAATAATCATTACACTACAAATATGTTTATTTATAGAGCAATCAACTAATTTGTGGACAGACATTGCTTGTATTTATTCAGTTCTGTTTGGTTTATTGTGGAATAATTTTCAAAATAATTTAATTATTTCATAACACAATTTCTATTATAGCCGTATCCTACTTAAATATACATTCATACCTGAGTGTCTGTATCTATGGAAAATGGAATGTTGAAGTATATGCTTTTCTTGGAAGTAACAGAAAATAATTTGAGCTGCAGGTATTTTGAAATCATACTTGTGGCTAATATTTTTAGGCTAACTGGATAACTTATAAATAACAAGAAAAACAATTTCCAAGTTTATTTTTTTTATAAATTTGAATAAAGCTAAGTTTTGTCTGCATGTCCTAATATTACATCAATAAAACAAAATAGACCAGTCCAGTGTACTAACATGAAGGATTTACTATCAGTATATATATATATATATATATATATATATATATATATAAAATGGCAGTCACAATATACAATATAAGTTGTAACATTTAATTTGCATAAAAATTTTCAAATAATAAATTTAATATTTCATCCGTGTTATTTATTTTAAAATAAAATTTAAAAAAGCAGTCTTTCTGTCAGAAAAGCTTTTTTTTTTAATTCATTGTGTTTGTACAGAAACAATTTGTAACTATTATTTCAAAATTCAGTTATAAATTAAAAAACACCTACAGCATTCATAAAAACCATTGTTGTTGTCAGCTATTTCACATTACTACAAATTAATCTGACAGCTTCCCACCAATTATGGAATTATCAGAATAATTGAAAATAATCTGTTTAATTATAATTTTCTTTAAATTGTACTAAATTACTCAAAGAAATGAAAAAATAGTTTGCTGAGTTAATTTTATTATTAATAGAAACATTAGAAAATTAATTTATTCAAAATGATTCAAATGTTTCTCTCATGGTCATCTCTATGTAGCTATGCCCAGAATAGGAAATTCAAGTGGACTTAGTATAATGGTAAAAAGAACTTTAGAAAAGAGATGTCTTGATGAAAATGATGTTCATATAGACATTTTATCATTGTTATTATTAATATAAGCATTAGAAAATGATTCAAATGTTTCTCTCATGGTCAGCTCTATGTAGCTATGTTCAGAGTAGGAAATTTAAGTGGATTTAGTATAATGGTAAAAAGAACTTTGGAAAATAGATGTCTTGATGAAAATGTTTATACAGAAATTTTATCACAGTAAAAGAACGTCTATGACAATTTAACTTTTCTCTATTCATAAGACATGTATTTGGCTGGCATGATGTAATTTGGAAGATTTTTCTTGTCGGTAGCAACTCAAGAAAATGAACTGAGTCATTCAATAGAATTATATGATTAACAACATAATTACCAAAGAGATGATATAAATCCTCAAATCTTATAAATTCTAAACTAACTGAAATAATTATTTGCAACCTGTTTTACATTTAATACTGATTTTTGGAATAGAAAGGACTATTTTCTCAGAATATTAAGAAGGATAAGAGATTTACCAGCAGATTAAAAAAAAAGAAAAAAAAAAGAAGGCTTCCAAGGATTTCCAGAAAATATTACATAAGGAAAATGAAAAACAAGAAATAATTAGACCGTAACATTGACAATAGCATTAACAACTTAACTCTTGAATTTCATATACATAATAGCAACAGTTTATATAATCCAATACATATAAACTGTTTTTCTTATATGAAAAATAGTATATGTAAGCTACAAATGTTACAAAAATATCATACTAAAAGAAATCAATGTAGTTTTATTTTGTAGGAGAATTTCATTGTCATGAGATTATATGATAAATTGCTAAAAAATCTGGTAAATATTCTAAAAGCCAGTTTGGTAACAAAATTTTACTAAGTAATATTCCTATTATGTGTTTAGAACAGATGTTATCGTATCCAGGTGAGAAACTAATATAAAAAAAAAACAAAAACAAAAAAAACTTATTTTGTATGATAGTGATTAGACACTCCATATGCACAATTGCAGCTTAATTCCTAAGAATTCAGTGAAATATTCAAACACGTCTTTAATTTATTTCAAATATCTAAGTTCTGTTAATTAGATAAAAAATATTTGAGAAAAGTCAAAGAAACATTTTCACTGGAATATGGTAAAATAAAATGTAAATATATTGATTAAAGAGAATACATTTAGAAATAAAATCCTATAGTTATTCATTTTTATATACATATAAGCAGAAATGTAGACTTACTTGAGAAGTTCCTTGTAGCCAGCATGGTAGTGAGAATGACACCCTAAAAAGATAAGAGAAAAAGAAAATAAACAAATTGTAATGAAAATTAATATCAATATAAAGAGGTTGTTTGATACAGCAACAACTATATAGGTTTTATAACATCCAGCATTATATCTAAGTATAAAAATAAAAATTATTAAAAAATATTTAATGTGGCACAATGAGTCAAGTGTCACACATGATACATGACTATTTCAATTCATAACTGGCTAGGAAGATTTTTCCGCAGTAGGTTGTTGTTCCTTTCTGCAGTAAACCAGCTGCCAACCAAGGCTATAGGACACAGTTTGTCCTGCTGGGGGGAGAAGAGATGGATTCATACCTTTCTTAAGAGTATTTATGTGTAAGTGAATGTAATGAACCCCACTGGAATTTGAACTTGGCTCTCAGATTTCTCATTCTGAGCAATTATCCATGTGATACAGTTTTGCACAAAACCAAAGGAAAGGATAAATGAAACTAATAGTTAAATGAAATCCATATTTTAAATATAATTAATACAGCATACACTTTTATCAAAGTATTGTACATTTAGACAGAAATCTTTCTTTTATACATGTTTCATTAAACATAATGGACAAAGAATATTTTACACTATTTACATTATTCGGACTATTGTCCTCATCTTGGTCACCATATTTATTACAACATTTTGGCCGTCTTCATGTGGTTGGAATGTCGAACTGAAACCTTTATTTCGCTTACTGGGGTAGACTGTTCTAGTTCCACATGCCGTGTTTAATGGATGTCAGTTATCTTCTGTTAATCCCCCTCTCCAAGTATTGAACTCATACTCTTTGGGTCCTGTTACTGGATCTAACCAATGCCTTTATCCACTGTGCCATGTGTCCTTGAGGACTTCTGTGTATTAATTTCTGGGTATCATAAACCTAATGTCATCAGCACTTAATTTTTACCAGTGCTCATATTGCAATTTTTGCTGTTGTCATTGCATGTTTTTTTTACCAGAGCTCATATTGCAATTTTTGTTGTTATCGCATTTCTCTGGCACTCCTTATTACTGGTTCCCATATTGTATTCATTTCAATGCTTAGTCGGCTCAGGAGATTTTTGTGGCCTACCCCAGTGAGTGAAATAAAGGGTTCAGTTCGACATTCCAACAACCTGAAGAAGGCCGGAGCATACAACGGCCAAAACGCTGTAATAAATATGGTGACCAAGATGAGGACAATAGTCTGAATAATGTAAATAGTGTAGATAATACTTCATCTCAGAAATATAGACAGATACTAAAGAATATTTTCTACATTTTTTTCTTGTGTCCTTACAATTTTATCTTTTTAAGAACTCTGTGTGGAGAAATTATCCACTGTGTTTGATTTGCCATTATCAGGAATGGGGTAATTTTCATGGAAATGAAGATTGTTAATATATTTTTGCTTTGTTTTCTATACTGTGTTGTGTGAAAGGAATTTTTGTAGCAATGATTTAATTCTTCATAGAATTATTGCTTACTTTTCAAACCTAGCCACTTCCAGAGATGTAATGTTGCAAGCCTCTTGCTACTCAATCTCTATTTCCATGTTCTGACAAGTTACATTTCTTACTTCCAATGTTTAAAATATAGAATATGTTAGAAATTTTATTTAGATTGGGAATATTCATTATTATAAAGCTTCTGATAACAAAGAATTATCTTATTATTTCTAATAAGCCAATGTTTATTTTAAAAGGTATAGATATAAAGGGGAAAGAGGAGAAAATTAGAGATTGCAAAAATATTAAATTAAATTTTGATTACTTTATAAAAACATTTTTCTGCCTGCATGATCATCGACAGAGATTAGTGAATTTATTTTTGAAATCTGAAGGAAGGTTTAAAAAATTCTTATATTAGAAGCAAATAAAACCTGAAAAATTATTTCAATTTAATAGTTATAATATCTTTCATATTATTTATCACTCCCTGGGCTTTTGAACAGGAGTAGAGGCTTATCCCTTGTTTCCTGTTTAGGATTGGGTTTCCAGTTCCTTCAACGTCTTCCCATTCTCTTTCACTACAAGTCACTCCTTCTGGCATTATCAGGTGAAATAATTAAGAAAAAAATCTTTTAGAATATTGAAGTGTTAATTAACGTGCTAAAGTAGTTCTACTTAAGAGATCAAGGTCAACTCTCAGTGAGCTGCCATCATGATTGAAATACATACATACAATTATATTTGTTTTCTTATAACTTATTTTTTTCTACCTCACTATATCTTACATTTTGGCCGCTCGGCATGGTATAATGGTTAGTGAGCTTGTCTCACTAAAACAATTACGACTGAATAGTGAGTTCGATCCTCACTCTGGGTGCCCCATACTTTCAGCCTTGGGCCACATCTAAGCTATGCTTCAAAAACCAGCACTATATCATAAATTTATTTTAAAATTTTTCTATTTATAAATCTCGTTGACATTTCACAGATGTTTATTTTATTTGCAAATAATTATTTTTCATTTTGTTAACTATTAAATTTTCCAAAAATTTTTAAATTAACCTCAGTCTTTGTAAATAGCAAGGTTGCCATAGTAACAACTTTTTCCTTAATTTTTCAATTGTTCTAATGGTATCCAAAATGAACAAAGCATTGGCAACAGAATAAAAAGAAATTTAAACATTCAACTGGTTTTCATATATATCAGTCATTTTATTATATAATATGTATTTTATTCTTTTAATCTGATATTTTTATTACTTCAATGTTATTTTTAGTGGATAGCAATATTTGAGTAGGTGCTCTGATCAGACAGTAGTTACTCCTGCAAAGGGGGATTCAGGTTTGAACCCTGGAGGGCACATTTTCTTTATTAATTTTTCTCGAGTACACAAAATAAATACTGCTTAAAATAAACAGAATATCTATGCAAATATGGGCATCTACTAAAAATAATGTTTGAAGCAATAAAAATGATATATACACAGAGGACACAACAAATAACATAAGATTAATAATGTATTTAGTTCTTTAATATTTTCAATAGACAGAAATTAACGTAATCATAATTGCAAGTAAAATCTTTATAAGAAATATGAAATTATATTACAATGAAAAAAAAAGCTAAAAGAAAATACCTTTTTATTATTGGTGCAGATAGCTTGAGAATTTGAAACTAATTCAATTGGTTAAGTTGAAAAAATTTATTATCGACAAAATAGTATAGTTAATTCAATAGCAAAAGTTTCTGAGCTTGTAACTTGCAAAATTTAACATTTATTTTTCAACTTCTTTCATTATTTTAAGATATATGTAGATCAAAAATTTCTTGCCAATATAGTAGTGTCACTATGTATAAAACGAAGTTTATAAATATTAACAAAGAATAAGGAAAATCATTAACTGAAGTTCATACTTGATATATCCCATAACATTCAGTTATCCAACATGAAATATTTAATGATTTGTGTGTTTTATCAAGTATTTGTGAGTTGTATAGATATAAAAATAAACAAATGCAAAACAAAATGCTCGACATATCAAAAGGTTTGAAATATCAATAGGAAGACAATAAAAAGGAAAAGAAAAATGTACATACCATGTGAGACTGACAAGGGAAAAAGAAGTGGGATATCCTGCGACTTAAAGCCGACAGATTTGAAAAGTCACCCATAAAGTGTCATCTGATTAACAAGGTGTCACACATTGATAAGTAATCTTCACCAATCAAGTGATGTGGTGTCAGGGGGTGGGGGAATATTGACAAAATGTGAGATATATAAATAGGCTTTGAACTTATATCTGGGAATCACTTATACTTTACGAGAAAGTTGAAAGAAATGAATGCTTCTTTTAATACCTGTATTTAGTAACAGGTTCTATTCCTTTTTAGCCTATCTATACAACTTATCTGTTACTACTTGCCTTCTCATTGCCCCTCTTTTGCTGTTTTTAAATTAATTAATTAAGCTTTGTTTGTTTATATCAGCAAGCTTCTATAAACACTGGTTTCTCAAGTGCAGTACTGTAGCTGGCTTCAGATTTAAGTCACCATTCATGAAGAGATGGTGGATTGTAAGTTATGACAAAAGGCTCTATCTTACAAGCTGTCAGTTTAATTACAAATTAACTATGAACATCTAATTATTTCATAGCAGATTCTATAATAGGAAACAATACTGGAAAGTATAATTTATAACAATTTATTAAGGGAGATTTGTGACTTAATAATAGCATCTACAGTTGAATGTCTCCCATACTGATTATGTCCAAAGAGACTACAGTAGTTGTTCTACCAGTTGATGCTGTCATATCCAACAATTACATATTATAAATATCTAAGTATCTCCCATTATTAATGCTATTTCTGACATTTATAGCAAGCTAAAACTCCAAATCATCATCATTTCATATATATATATATATATATATATATATATATATATATATATATATATTTTTTTCTTTCTTTCTGACAATTACATTGTGAATGGAACTCTTCTAACATTTATATCAATCTAAAAGTTCAAATCATCATTTCTTATATATATATATATATATGTGTGTGTGTGTTTTTCTGACAATTGCATTGTACATGAAACTCAGAGTTGTGCTACTGGTGAAAAGAAAAAATGCATATTTATGATTAATATAAATTATAACTCTGTTATTATACAACAAGCATTATTAATGATTTCGTGTTCTTCATATATAAACACAGAAAAACAGGGTTCATATAATGATCTACATGTCCTTGCCATTTTTAAAATTTTCCATTTCACATTAGGAGTCTTATTATCTTTTAAACAACAAAAATATTTAGAAAGTGATGTATTATTTCTATACCAATATGGTAAAGGAAAGATATGTTGATACCACCTTATCGTAAAAGAATTCATAGTACTACCAATATAGAATTTTTCAACCATCAGATTCTCTATTATACTAAGACAAACCAGAGATTTGGTTAAACATTTATTGAGCAATGGGCATTAGTCAAAATTCCTACAATTACATTGGCCAATATTATTAATATTTATATTGGAATGTGTATTATGATCCAGATTATTAAATTGGTTTAAAATTTTATTATTGTGCAACTTTATAATATTCTCAAGATTATTGGTACAGCTATAACTTAGTTTTAATGTGTTTCAGTTAAATATTTTACTAAGAGGGTTACTTTTAGGAAAATGTTTATCAATCAAATAGAGGAACTGATGGCTTAATTTAGAAATGACTAAATGGGAGCATGTACCAAATGATCTTCCTATTTCTTTTCTTTGAACTACTTTCATCATATTTTCTAAATTTGATTTCAGTGTACTTATAACCACTATTCTTTAAAACTTTATTATAAACACTGCTATATTTATCAAATTCATCTTTATCTGATGAATAGTTGCTGATCCTACATATATATAAGATAAAGAACACACAGGAAACCTTTATGAATTTCACATGTTTCACTTTTATTAAAGCTTCATCATATCTCATTCTCTGATGAAGTTTTAATAAAAGGGAAACATGTTAGATAAACATTTCCTATTTGTTCTTCATCTTATCTTCTGTCAGATTCTGATTTGTATTTGACAATACTTCATATATAATTAACAAAATTTAGTAATTGTCACCTCAAAAATGTGAGAAAAGGTTGCATTTTAGTTTGCATTTTCATAGGTCACATAGTTATTAGCTGAATTTTGATGTGAAATTTTCACTGGATAATGTTTCATCTATGTTATTAATATTTACCACTGAATAAGGTACATTGAAAAAAAAAAGGAGATTATTTGTATTTGTGAGATGAGAAATTATCATTGTTATACACTGATTTAATGAACATCATAATGTCCTCATCTTAGTTGTCACAATATTATGGCCATTGTAAGCCCTGGTCTTTTTCAGGTGCTCATCATATTTGGTAACATTCTTGGAATTTTGAACCAAAGCCTTTACTCAATCTAGTGTGGTTTAGTATAAGCTGACATACCAAAAGTCATGCAATAGATGCCTAGCATCTTGTGGGACTCTCACTAGCCTGAGGAAAACCAGTAACTTGAAGACCCCTAGAGATATGTTGAGCCATGCCATCTCAATAACTGTCTACAGCTCCCTGATATTTGTAGGTGTAGGACACTGCCTGTTAACAGACCTCTCCATGATCCCCCATAATTGCTTAATTGGGCCCATGTCAGGTGAATGTGATGGCCTCACTATTAGGTAAAAGCTTTGAGAATGCTTCTTAAACAATTCTGAGCAACTTGGACAACCAATGACACAATGCAGTTCATGAATGAATGCAAATAGTCATAAAACAATGCAATATAACAGTCACCAGTGATTAGGCAGACCAGCAAACCCAACCCCTGCCACATGAACATGTCTAACGCAAATATGGAACCTTTATCAGTCTGCACATTGCCTTGTTGACAACCTAGGTCCATAGCCTAATGGGGTTTGTGCCACAGCTGATCTTTACCATCAGTCCAAAACAATTCTTGAAGGTTCCAATTAGTGGTGTCATTAGTCCAGGTGAGGCACCGTGTCCCGCGTCTACAAGTTAACAGGGAAACTCTGGTGGGTCCCATCTTGTAAACTAGCACTACAGAATCACAAAGAATTGTACCAAATAACAGAAACCACATCACTTGAGCATGTTCAACAACAGCAACAGTTAAAATGGATAGCACATATAACTTGAAGAGAGAATAATCAAGATATTGACATTCCACACTACCTCAAACAAAAGGCAAGGAAAGAAGTCTCCATCAATACTGGAAAAAGCAATAACAGCTAGTGGACTTGAGAAACCTATCTTTCTGAAAAATTGTTTTAAAAGAAAGATTTTATAAATTTCAACTGAAAGAAGCATGAGGTGCTTGATCAAGGAATGCCGAATGTTTCCTTATCTGGAAATGGCTACGATTACCATATTCATAGAAGCTTAATAATGTTGAACTAGCCTGCTACACATGCTTCTGACACCACTTGCACCACTGTGATTGTGATTTGAGTTGGTGCCACAGATAACTCTAGTCAGATACCTCTGGTCATAATCATTAAGGACGTGCTTGGCTACTGTATTGCCCATGATGGGTGGTAATGCCTTTCATTAAATATTTCTGATACAGTGTAACCCGGATATAAGAGAGTTGTTGGGACTGGAGAAGAAGTCTCTTATATCTGGGTTTGGTCTATTTTATATACATTAACACAGGCTCTAATTTGGGACCAGAGAAAATCTCTTATATCTGGGTTTCTCTTATATCCGGGTTACACTGTACATACATAACACTGTATATGAAGAGGTATCAAATATCTCCACAATTTCTGAAATAGACTTGCATCTATCTGACACTTATTATCATGTCCTATTTAAAGTCTGATAATTCATATGACCTTGCCATGTGCAGCAAAAACATTTTCCCACCGAATCACCAGATATCAGAGCCCAATTGATATAGATCTGGTTATTTCCATGATGTCAAGGAAAAGTGGCACTACCTACCATTAGCTTTACATACTACCATCCTATGACTTTTGGCACGTCAGTGTATAAACATTGGTTAAGTATACACAGTTTACTTGGGGATAATAAGTTCAATCTCTGAGTCAGGTTGTGAAATTAAGATTTTCTGCTTCAATAGAACAATTAGGAATGACATCACAAGGACAAAATAACAGAGAAAAATAAACAAAAATATGGGTTCTGTTCCCTAACATGGAGAGTTGTATAAGAACAATCTTCCCTGTTGATTGAATAAAAGGTTTCATTCAAAATTTAAAAAACATTTCAAATATGTCAAGCATTTGAAGAAGGGCAGAGGATACAATGGCCGAAATGTTGTGACTATAATCATACTTATTATAAAACCCAGGTTGTGTGTGTGTGTGTCTGTACGTTTATATATTGGATCGGATTTCCTACATTTTTTCAAGTGATTTCAACAAAACTTCACAGGACTATGTAAAATTACCTTGCGGTGGTTCTGACAGTGCCAAAAATTGGAAAAACAATTGTTTTTGCACTAAATCAATTTGAAAACATGATTAAGAGGCATTGCTGTTTCGAGAATGAAAGGGGGACAACTCATATCGAGTTATACTTATTATAAAACCAAGGTTGTGTGTGTGTGTGTGTGTGTGTGTTCATTTATATATGGGATCGGATTTCCTACATTTTTCAACAGAACTTCACTTTTTTTTTGGTAGGTAGTGTTTCTTATTGACTTGCACACTTTTTTCTTTATTTTTGCATTCAGAATGCTTTAAAAATTCCATTTACAAGACAATTGTTTATAATAAAATTGAAAAATTCTATTCAATCGGTAGACTCATAGCAATTGAAAACAATGTTTTTGTTTGAGTTTGGGTTTGACCAATTCATAAAAAAAAAACTAATTAAGACATGCATGTCCATCAACCTTAAACAATAATCTTTGTCAATTTTATTTTTCAGACTTTATGATGGTCGATACTTGATCTATCTCTTACTGTTACATCCCCGGGCAACGCCGGGCTCTACTGCTAGTAATCAATATGAGGAGACTTGTTGAAATAAATAAGTATGTAATGACAAAGGAGATTATATTGAAAAACATTTGTGGAGTAAAATAAATGTTTCTTTCACTAGGTTATGGATCTCTTGATGTGCCTGTATAGTTTTGCTCATATTCCATAATATTAAAAGCAACAACAGATTGTGTTGCAAATAAGAATGTATTTTTTCCATTGTCTCTTATATACCTGAAGACCAGAAATATCTTCTTACCTACAGAGAGCAAAGATAATCCTACAGATGATAATTATATAAGCAAACCAAAACTCCATTAATTGCTCCAAAAAAGTATATAAATATTTGAACAAATCTACCTCTTTGTCATGTTTTTTCAGCCTGCAGACAATAGAATAATGCATTTTGGCCCACTTTCTAATACCAAGCAAAAACAAGTTTTATAGTAATGAAATCTCCTTCTGCTGCATTTTTTTTTAAATGTATAGATAAGAAAAGGGTTATATATATATACTTTATTATTATACCAAAGAGTGTAGACAAGCATAATAATCAAAAGTAATATTAATTCAGTTTCTAAGATAAAACAATATTTGATTAGTAATTCTTTAATTTTATTTCTCTTGGGTTTTCCCAACTACCATAAATAAAAAACAGAAAATAAATAAAGGTAAATTTTAATTCTTGTTGGTGAGCCCACTTAGAAGAAACATTGTCAATTATTATTCATTTTTCACTAGTATTTCTTTCATATTCATTTCTCTTGCTTTTTATTGCATCTTCCATCCATAAGAAGTAGAAGTAGAGAATATAGCTATATGGCTAAATTTGAATGACTTCTGCTGGTTAGCCTTCTTAAATGAAGCATTGTCAATTATTATTCATTTTTCACTAGTATTTCTTTCATCTTCATTTCTATTGCTTTTTATTGCAACTTTTTATCACAAGCAAAAGAGAAGTAGAGACTGTAGCTATACACTATTTCACTTTATTTTTATGACAAATATCAAACTGTAATATTTCCAGGTAGAGTGTTTCAATATGAAAGCCAACAAAATTTGCTTGATACTTAATTATTACCAATTTACATGTTCAAAATCTATCTACAGTGTTTGCATCTCATGGTGAGCTCTCATATCTTTTTTTTTATTTCATACCATGTAAGAATCTCATTCAGGAAAGTCAATGGGCATAAACCATGTTTACTAATTCCCGCACACATGCTACACAAACCATCATTCTAACAGTGTGGATTAGAAATAAGTCTTTGCTGACAGACAAATTTTCACCTCTATTCCCCTGAGAAGTCAATTCAATACCAATTGGTTACAAAAACAGAAACTTAACTATAGAGTTTTTATTCTTCATTTTTTACCCACTTGCCTGATACAATGCCATCAGATTTTATAAAGACTATCTGAACTGATTAGATGAAATTCTGTTGATAATGATGAATGTTAGTAAACTATATCTGAAGAAGGAAGAGGTCATCATCTCATCTTTAATGAAACAATAGGAAAGGACAAAGTACTTACCTTTAGTTTCCTTCGTGCATTGAATTTCTTCAAGCAATCCACTGTCTCTTGCCGATGTACTGCTGAAGCTACCCGCTCTCGTTGCTGCAAAGATAAAAAAGAACAATCTTAAATAAGGATTTTTTTCACCTTATCAAATTCATAAGAAAATGAAAACAAACCAGTAATCGTAAGTTCAATTCCTGGGCTTAGTAGTGCAGACTTAGACTTAAGATGAGCAATTACTGAGTAATAATAAATAAAAACAAGATATCCCTAGACATGGACAGTGGAATGAGAACAATCTACTCCTGTAGATTAAATAAAAAGTTCAGTTTGAAAGCTACCCAGATTGACATATCTGAAATAGTCTGGAGGGCATGATAGCCAAAACATTGTGATAACAAGATGTGAACATTAGTCCGAATAAGATTATACATTATTAATATAGGCCTGAGAGCTACTCCATGCTCCTGCAACAGATATAAGCTATTCATCTAAATATTTGTGAAGTCAAACCAATAGTAAAGAGTATATCATTTTACACTCAGACAATGAATGATCACTTTAATTATGTAGTAATTTTTATAAAGATGATTTATAATCAAGAATTTAATGAAATTCTTATTAAGATTAAAGTTTCACAACCAGATATCAATCAACATCTACCTTGAACTTCTGGAGATTAAATGTTACCTGGAGAGTGGGAGAAAAGTTATCAAAGTTTCATTACGTTTTGATTACATTTTTTCTGATAGTACATTAATATTTTAAAGTAGCCTATAAAAACCCAAAATAAATTTTAGAGGAAACCTTAAATTGATAAAAAGGAAGGAATATATGCATCTTCTAGTCAGTTGATTGCATTACAGGAACAAAGTTATTCATTATGAAAATGATCAAAGTTTAACCTTTGAATCTGCAAACAAATGGCGTGTCAAAAGGATGTTTTTTTTCTTGACATCACTATGACTGTATACACCCTTGACTCCTTTGGCAATGTTTATTGTTTTAAAAAGCTATGTTTAGAATATTAATAACAACAAAAATATTTCACACTATTAAGTTGTTAGATTGTTTATTTACAAGATTATAAAAATAAGTGAACCAAATACAATGCAATATTTATTATTTACTATTTTATAAAGATTTATTATTTACCATTTTATAAAGGAATTGAAAAATATTTTTATTCAAAAATGTCTTTGAATAATAAAACAAGAAAATTTAAATAAACACATATGATTTTTCTCAACATATATTTTCTTCTCAGATGATTTTTTATCATGGATAACTACTAATCTTTTAATGTAATTTAATTTTCTGATTTTTTTTATATCAGGGATCCAAGATCAAGAATCCCTAATCAATTGAAATACCCAGTAGAAATTACAGATATTCTGCAATTACACACAAGGAAATCCTTGAAATACATGCTTAAAACACTGAGTATTTGTAGTCTTGACTCAAATCTAAGATTAAAAGAATGTTTGGTTTAGAGGAAGAGATGCTTTGAACTGATTTTAATGAATTTATGTAGCGAGTACAGTTGAAAGAAATACCTGAAAAATACATTTTTCACAATTTATAATTACAATTATTTGTTGTTATGCTTATTTAAATTTTATATAATAGGGTGTCAAGAGAAAAAAACATCCTTTTGATGAATCATTTTTTGTGTGCCTAAAGGTTAAACTTTGCCAAGGATTCTTTATTTAATTTAGGATCAACAGCTAAAACCATGTCCAAACATCTGAAACAATGATACTCATCTTTTAGATAATTTTACCATAGCATAAATTCAAAAATACAAGTCAGGCTCCTTAAGTCTTTTAATTAATAAATGTTGACAATTACAACTGCACCTTCCTTGCTTTCAGTGATTCAAAATTCATCTCTGAAGAGCCCAGAGACAGTTTTCTTTCTTTTTCTGCATCTATCTGAACAAGATCTGAATCTGCTTTAAACCTTGTATTTTTACCTAATAACTCATGTAAGTTGTTTAACAATCTGACTCTCCAAGTGCTTCTCAGCCATAATAATCAAAAGCAGATCATACATCTGAAGAAGGATGGCTTGTTTGACTTTTACAAAAACGTTCAAGTGGCACTTGATGTCAAGAGCTTCTCTCATACTTTAGATATGTCATTAGAATTCGGCTGATGGGAATAGTTTCTCTTTCTATCCAAATTATGAATCTCTTGTACAAGAGTGAAGAAAAGCATGTTCAACCTTGAAGAGGGATCTATTTTTTGAGAGCAGGACGTATGTGCAGAAAACTAACATACCTGTTATTTAGATAATTGTGTATATTTAGGTAAAATACAAAGACTAAGTTCAATTAGATAATAAAGCTTGGTCAAAGATAACTGACATTAAAAAAGTGGCTTGGCTCTCATATAACGAAAACAAATCAAAATAGAATTTAAACAAACAGATTGACTTTAGCTCAGTAAACAATAAACCTGTTTCACTGGTGACTGACACTGAAAATACTTCAAATATAGTGTTATTATAAAAGGTTCAGATAGAAGACCGAGGTTCATTGGCCACAAAGCAAAACCCAAACAACAACTGTAACATGTCACTGACCTTCCCCCACCTCCAAAGAAAAAAAGAGAAACAGAAGACAAAGAACAACATGGTGAAGATCTATGGAAAAGAAGAGGGAAGTAATGGGTTGTTGACCCTGGTGTAAAGTGCACACAGTAGCTGCAGACAGGGCAGAGTGAAGATATTTTATGGTGGTCTTATCTGCCACAAGGCACCAAGCAGATAGATAGATAAAAAGGTTCACATATATTAAGTGAATTTCTTAATTTTGCTGAGGTTTAATTTTTTTTACAAATCAGAATTCAAAAGCATATTTTAAACTTGAAAGTGTATTATTAAATATATGAAGAAAATTGCAAGCACAGTGTTACGATTAACAAGTTGTTCGTTTTTTCTTTTTTTGTTTTTTTTTTAAAATCAAACTACTATATTTTTAGCAAACTTTTGATATAAGCAAATGCCATAGGTATTAGGGAGTGTTGAAAAGTACTCAGCCTGATCCAGTTCCCCAAAACTGATTAAATGATCAAAAATACAATTTTTTTTTTATTAACTTCTTAGATAGGCTGAGAACTTTTCAGTACCTTTTTGTTTAATCATTACAATGATGTGTAAAAAAATATAAACTATTTTGAATTAAGCAATTTCCATAGTGAATGAAACAAAATAATTTTGAATTTTTCTGATTAATTAATTTTATCCATTGTTGGACTATGCCAAGCCCTTTTCATATTTTATGGATGTAAAATATAAAGTTTTTTCATAGAGTTTTTAGCTAGTTTTCAGAGAATGTAGGACAAAAGAAATGATGTATCTCCACAGATTCCTTTTCTTTAATATCTGTAAACTGTGTTATGATTGTTCTCAGAAAGAGAGTAAAATTGTATCCTGCTGCCTTCCTCATAGTTTTGAATTCAGGGTCTTTCTAGAGTAGCAACTAAGGTTAAAGAGACCAGTCAGATCTGCTACTTACCCCATAGCTGAGAGAAATGGATTCATATCTTTCATATCAAGGGAATTTGTACAAAGTGAATACCAAATGTTTCAGCTGGAATTTAAACATGACTCACCTATTCCATTTGACATGTGGTGAACTATTAGTCTACTGATACCTCCTTTGTTCTTTGTATTGGATTCTAGAAGTTAATATTTCATAATCTTGGTTGGACAATATTGAGGCAATTTTTATTTAGCTGTACAAGAGCTAAATATAAAGCATTGTCAATATGTAATATTCTGATCTCTGAATATAAAAAGCACAACTGAATAAGAACTCATTATGAAACAATTTTAGAAAAGTACTGGCTTCTGGTTAAGAATAAATATAGCTAAGTCTATTCTGAAAGCTCAAGTGACATCAATACACTTACATCAAAAAACATGTCTGATAGTTTCTCTGTCTCACACAGTGATCCAAAAAAAAGAGCTTTCTACTTTTAATCATCCTTTTCAATTCCTTCAAAAGAATCATACTGAGAGACACTAACAATGTTATAACTAATGGAAAATATGAATGACAAATCTACAGAATCAGTGTATTCATAATGCCTCTGCATTGACATCATACTCAGCTCTGGTAAAAAATGTGTAGAATACCTGGATAACTCCACAATATGATAAAAAAAAAAAAAAAAAAACACAAGATATTTGCATTAGTGTAAATCTCTATGTAGTTATAACAATGTATCATCAAAATATATCAGCATTTCACAGTGGAGTGTGCATCACATCTGTAATTTCAGAACAGGCTATTTTTTGCTTTTTTTTTTTTTTTTTATGGGATGGATTTACCAGTATCACACCCATTATCTTCTATTTTACCCAGGATTAATTTTTGTTATTTTTTCCCCCTGTTAGATTCACCTTTTAATTAGATTGCGTTTACATAACTAAAGGGCTCCAACTGTTCAGTTATTTACTATAGCTTGAGGTATGAATAGATTCATGAACATTAAAGTGGACGTAAAATCCTCATGATAATAATTAAAAAACAACACATACAAAATCAAATTAATGCTAAAACTCCTAAATTTGGTGGACTTAACATACAAATTGAATCACCCAGAATCTATATTTCACATTTATAAGTCTACCATTCATCCAGGCATTGAATATTGCTGCCATATAAAGTCTGGTGCTTCAAATATGTATTCAGAGATTCTTGATAAAAACCAAAGAATCTGCAATGTTATTGGTCTTGACCTGGCATCTCAGCTTCAGTCACTTTCCCACTTTCATCACATAGCTTCCCTGTGCCCTTTCTATAAATATTTTCATAGTAATTGTTTGGATGAACTTTCCTCTATGGCACCTAAACTTTATGAATTTAAGTGAATTACTAGATTGGCAGCAATGTCTCATCATTATACAGTTGAAATGGATAAAGTTAACCATAAGTTCTATGCTAGTAGTTTCTTCTCTTGCATTTCTCATTTATGGAACACTTTTCTGGCTTCTTGCTTTCCAGACAACTCTAGTCTTCTGGTCTAAACACACTATCTTCTGTCTTCTTAATTCCTGCTCTTTTATTGTCCTATTTCCTTAAAAATATTTTCTTTTTCTCATATTCTTTCACACTCAGTAGCCATTTGCATCTTAGAGCAGCAATAGGAAATTGTGGAGAGCCATGATTACTCATGTGCTGAAGAATTTGAAGAGTCAGATAAAGAAATATGGTACATACACAAATCCAATAATATTTCAGTACTTCTGATGCTGTAATTCTCTTGGTGGAGTTAAGTGTCAGCATACTATTTTTGAGATTCTTTACTACAAATTGAATGACCCAGAATCTACCTTACACATATCATTTATACTCAGGAAGATGCAGCTGAATTTTCTCAAACACATGAAGATGGAGGGCTTGGAAAAAACCCTCAGAGAACATATTGAGGGCAAGAGAGATCGGGGAAGGCAGTGAAGTACCTACCTGACGAGTGGATGGTAGAACAGTGGGCAGAAGGCTTAGCAAAGGGAGTAAAACTACTAAGGGCCATGATTACCAGTGTCCTGAAGTAATGCAGCAGATAGAATAAGAAGAGTCAGATAAAGAAATATGGTACATACACAAATCCAAGGATGTTTCAGTGCTTCTGATGCTGTAATTCTCTTGGCGGGGTTAACTGTCAGCATACTATTTATGAGATTCTTTGCTTCAGGAGTCACAGTGTCCCATTCTGGAGACGGGTACTGAAATAAAGCATATACATGGCATTCAGTAAAGTAAATGTTATTAGTAGCAGCAATAATAATAAGTACCAGCTAAGAAAAGACTTTGTAATATATATATATATATATATATATATACACACACACACATACACACATATATATTGCAATATCATTATTCTTACATATGAAGTGTTACCTTTAAGTTTTGGGAATTATGCAGCTTAAAAATTTTGTCATGTTTTTTTCGGGGGGGGGGGGGGTGCTTTTCTTTTTGGGGATATTATAAGCTTTTTCATTTTGGGGGTATATGAGCTGGGAAGTAGGTGAGAATTATTAACCAATCACAAATCAGACAATATTTACTGAATCCGAGTTGCTTTACACCTTTCATGAATAAGGAATATGAAAGTACTTACAATATACTTATATACTTATTTATATATGAGTATACATGTATAGAATTTATCAATGTCAGGTGTTAAAAAAAAAAAAACCTGATAAAGCCATAAAATATGAATGCAAACGACAATACTAAAATACTTACAGAATTTCTTACAAGAACAAAATACAAAAGTGTACCTAAGGGCAGGTGAACTTACAACACCTGGCTGATCAGACTGATATTTTCTCATTAGATCCATTAAATGAAAAATGTTTTAAAATTATTTTTCAATCTTCATTTTGGTTTTGCTTATATATTTTTAAAAATCTGATCACACAGAGTATTTTTTAAAATTGTACAACATTAGCAGATTTTTTTGTCAAGAAGGTAATCTTTTTTTTTTTAATCAGTTCACCCCAAGGAAGGTAATGATGCGAATAAGATGCAAGGGGCTACTGAGAGTAAAAGAGAATGAAAAGACATTAAAAGGAACTGGAAATCTAATCCTAAACAGGCAACGAGGGATACACTTCTACTCCTGTTCAAAAGACTGAGGAGAAGTCTTATAGAGTTAATAAAATTTTGATAATGTTTTTTATTTTGGAAAAAATGAGAAAATAATATGAAAACCAACTCCAGATAATTTTATTAAGAGTATTAATTAATGTTTTCTAGATATTTGCAAATTAACTTACTTCTAAAGAAATAATGGATTTTATTTATTAATCCAACATATTTTTATTACTTTAAACATTATTTTTAGTGGATAACCATATTTGAGTAGACACTCCGTTTATTTCAAACTATTTTATTTGGTCTACCGGCCTGAACAATCGAAAAATCATATTAAAGAAAATGCACTCTCTGGCAGGATTCAAACCTGCATCCACCATTACAAGAGAAACCATTGTTATATTCACCATGCTTTAACCACACAGCATCTAACAACAGTTTCTTTTGTAAAGGAAGACACAGGTTCGAATCCTATAAGAGGGTGCATTTTCTTTCTCAAATGTTCAGGTCAGTTAACAAAATAAAATACTGTTTCAAATAAATTAAGTGTTTACTCAAATATGGATATCCACTAAAAATACTATTTTACATAAAAAAAATTAACTTATTGTAGTATCACCGAGTCAAATAAAAATAACAATTTCTGAATATATACAAACATGAGTGTTATGAAAATAGCCAGTATAATTTTTTCCAAATTAATTTAAAGCTAATTTAAAGTTATCAAAAGTTTCAGTAAAAATATTACTTTGGTAAAGTGTATAAAATTAGTTTAAAAATGAATCACTAGCCAAACAGAGAATTAATAAAAATATATCAGTCTTATCTATCTGTAAGTGACAAGTAACTTTTGGCAAATTAGAAAGCCAAGACAACTAAATACTCAGTGAGATGATATAGCCTGAAAAATGATTACATATAAATCAATACATTTACACACTGGGCATTAGTGGACTGAGAATTAGGGACAATCTATTTCAGCTGCCAACCAAAGATGTTGCATAGAAAGTTTAAATGTTACAAAGCTATAAATCATCCAAAACATATGCCAATATAGAGGATAAAAAGTTTAAGGACTTAATGCATATAATCTGACTTTTTATGGTATTCACTGTTTTGCAGCTTTTTATTCTAAAAATTTCTTTCGATTGATAATGTTAAGCAATTTTCGACTTAAGATAAAAATAAACTTTTAATATGTTTAATAGTTTATTAAAGGCAGAAAGTTAGCTTTCATCATAAATGGAAAATTAATAGGAATAATATTTCATAAAACTTGAATGTTCATGCTTGCAAAAAAAAAAAAAAAAAAAAAAAAAAAAATCAGTGTCAAAAGGATAGTTTTTCCCTTGACACTACTATTATTTTAATTACCTTCAATCTTTGGTAATGTTTATTGATTTAAATAGCAATGATTAGAATTGTAATTTATACTTTTTTTTTCTTGAGAATTGACAACATATATAGTAAAAGCTATTTATTTATTAAATTGCTTATTTACACTATTAGATTGTTTATTGGAATGGTTGGCAAAACTTTCAAACTTTATAAAATGTTAAATAATAAGGAATTACTTATATTGGTTTACATATTTTAATAATTTAGTAAATATTTATAAATTTATGAATAAAAAATTGCTTTCATATTTATTTCTTTATGAATTGGTAAATGATAAATATTGCATTGTATTAGTTTTTAGAATGTTGTAAATATAAAAATATTCTTGTAAATAAACACTAATAAATAAATGGTGTTTAATATTTTTGTTGGAAATTCTCAAGAACAAAACAAAACGTATAAATTCATTTTCATCATATGTTTAGGTTTTATTACAATTCTAATAATGCCTTTTTAAACAACGAACATTGTCAAGGAGTGAAGGTAGTTAAAATAATAGTGGTGTCAAGGGAAAACCATCTTTTGATAATACGTCTTTTTGCAGGCATGAAATTTGGTCAATATTTCAATGTCTGTATCCAATAACAATGGAATTATAATGATACAACTGAAACTTAAAAAAAAATGGATTTTTTTCCATATGCAAAAATCTAAGTATAAACTATTTTACTGCATAAAAGAAACAATGAAAAGTAAACTTCAGTTATCTAATTAAATATCATTAATCAAAGATAGTTTTTCTTGTATGCTATATAAATTGCAAATACTTTTCAGGCTATATCAACTCTTAAGCCATACTTACAAATCAGTCATACCTACCAATATGCATATATAATCTACATTTCTAGTCCGTTAATACCTACCAACTTTCATATACACTAGGAGAAATACCTACCTCTTTTTTTAAAAAATCATTTTGGACATTGCAAAAACAGAATTGGCAGATGTTACATATAATTAGAAAACTGCATAATTTAAGATTATTTACATTAATTTAGTATTTAATTTCTGAGATTTGATCTATTGTTCTCAATTTAATTGATGTAAATATAGAGACAACATTTTGATCAAATAACCTGGCTGATATGGAACATTGTGATATTTTGTCACAGTGATGTAAGTTAATGTTCAATTCCTGCTGAATTGGTGCTTTCAAGAATTGAACTCATGACCACAGTAATACATGCATAACCAACTCTTAATATCCACTATGCCACCATCCTGAATGACATTAGGGTGTGTTTTTTGAGCCTTTTACATTCAATGTCAGACAATTTTGACATTTGATTATGATGGCAGGTTTGTACTGCTTTTTCATAACTTGGTGTTTCATTTCTGAGATGAGTAATTTTCAATATTCTTGTATTATTTTAAACTATCATTCTCATCTTGCTGACATGGATGTTATTATAAACACAATGTTTTCAACATATTTGAACAATAACTGATATCACAGGCACAAAATATCACCATAATCAACAGATATTCCATATGAGCCAATCAATGAATATCTGATGATGACCAGAGGGTACTTGATCAAAATGTTGTGTCCATAATACATAAATCAAGCAAGAGAACAACAGTTTTTAAATAATACGAGAATACTGTTTACATTAACTTCTATCACCTTATAAGTTATTCTGATTTCAAGTAAAGAAACAAATCTGAATTATCTTCTTAAAAGTTATGACTGCTCAAAGCTTTTTAAATAGACAATCTAATTTTTTTATCATTCTGTGTACATTCTTTCCTAATTAAATTTTGTTTATTACATTTTTTTATTATGTTTATTATATTTTCTTTCTTAACATGGGTACTTTTAAACATTAAATTTATGCATTAAGAATTGAACAGACATCTTTTTAAGGGTTGGGATTTTTGTATTTAATGACACTTCAAAACCTGCAGGTAATGTGTCACAAGACATATTTTTTAGAGCAAAGAGTATACAGATAAATCTACCAAAACTGTTCTGTTGTCAAAATGAAGTTCTATAAGATAAAAAAAAAAAAATCATGAAGAATGATGAAGCAACTAAAATAAATATTTCTTTAACTTTTATCATTAATTTTTTAACTTAAGGAAGAATTAACACTGGTTGACAAATTATGTGCTTAGTAGATAGTTACTTTTCTATGGGTTTTAAGAATAAATCGTATATAAAGATAAATGAAATTAATTGTCATTATTCATTTTTGTTTTAAGACTATAACTGATATTTTCATATTAATAGAACAAAATAAACATAAGAGTTGATTTGAAAAATGCCAGTTTTATGCTATTAGTCAAAGTTTTATGGCAACCCTCTGGATCTAATAATAATTCATACATTCTTTGGTTTAACTAACTTTTAAGCTTGGGTGCTAAAAATATTTAACTCATTAAACTCAAGAATGGTTACCGAAAATTTTAAATCCACCAGCTTTAAGATTACAACTAGCTAGCAAGGTAGATTAGGCAAAAAGAACCAAAATTTGAAGAAAACTTTATGCAATAATGAGTTAATTTCATTATTATTACCTTTACTGAAAACGCTTCACAAAAACAAAGTGCCTCTGGTTTAAAATGAGCTAGCAAATTAGTTTTCAAAAAAGCATGTATTCTTCAATTTTTAGACAATTCTTTCAAATTCAGAGTGTGAACCCAATCTTTTGGCCTTGTATGTAATATATTTTGAGATTATTTTTTTTGTAAAGAGAAACTTCTTTGTTACTGCTTCCAATAT